AATTGATGTTAGGCAGCGGAAAAGGAAAAGAAAAGGAATAGACTACAATGCCGAAATTCCATTGGAAAAAAGGCCACCTCCGGGGTTTTTTGATGTTACAGATGAAGATAGACCAGTGGAACAACCCAAGTTTCCTATTACAATTGAAGAACTTGAAGGAAAAAGAAGGGTCGATATTGAGACACAATTAAGAAAGCAGGACATTGCCAAAAATAAAATTGCACAAAGGCAAGATGCCCCATCTGCCATACTGCATGCCAACAAGCTGAATGACCCAGAAACAGTAAGAAAGAGGTCAAAACTGATGCTTCCACCACCCCAGATTTCTGATCAGGAATTGGATGAAATTGCAAAGCTGGGTTATGCCAGTGACGTTGCAGGGAATCAGGAACTTGCTGAAGGTAGTGGTGCAACACGTGCTCTTCTGGCTAATTATGCACAGATGCCTGGCCAAGGAATGACTCCTTTACGAACGCCTCAGAGAACACCAACTGGTAAGGGAGATGCTATCATGATGGAAGCTGAAAATTTGGCCAGGTTGAGGGAGTCTCAAACACCATTATTGGGAGGAGAGAACCCGGAGTTACATCCTTCTGATTTTTCTGGGGTTACTCCTAAGAGAAAGGAGATTCAGACTCCAAATCCAATGCTGACTCCTTCTGCAACTCCTGGAGGTGCAGGACTCACTCCAAGAACTGGCATGACACCAGCAAGAGATGGTTTTTCTTTTAGCATGACACCAAAGGGAACTCCTCTTAGGGATGAGCTACATATTAATGAGGATATGAATATGCATGACAGCAGTAAACTTGAGCTACAAAGACAAGCTGATATGAAAAGAAGTTTGCGTTCTGGTTTAGGAAGCCTTCCACAGCCCAAAAATGAATACCAAATAGTGATGCAACCGGTTCCAGAAGACAGTGAAGAGCCAGAGGTGAATATTGAAGAGGATATGTCTGATAGAATAGCTAGAGAAAAGGCCGAAGAAGAGGCAAGGCAGCAGGCCTTACTTAGAAAAAGATCAAAAGTTCTTCAAAGAGAACTTCCTAGGCCTCCTGCTGCATCATTGGAGCTTATAAGAAATTCTTTGATAAGAGCTGACGAGGACAAGAGTTCCTTTGTTCCACCTACCTCTATTGAGCAAGCTGATGAAATGATTAGAAGGGAACTTCTAACTTTGCTGCAGCATGACAATGCTAAGTATCCACTTGACGAGAAAGTGACCAAGGAGAAAAAGAAAGGAGCCAAGCGTGCCTTAAATGGGGCTGATGTCCCTGTGATAGAAAATTTTCTGGAAGATGAAATAAAAAATGTACGTGTTTACTAATGTCTCTGGGGCACTTAGTTTCTTTCTCACACCCTTTATTTCTATTTGTGATGACATCTCATTCTCTTCACTTGATATGAAGTAACTTGGTCAACTCACACCCTTTTTGATACACACAAGTAACTTGATTTCTGCTGTGGAGGATATCCTCTTCTTTTTATGTAGATCCTTAGATTATAATGACCTCGCCCATTTTTTATTTTATTTTATATATATATATATATATATATATTTCATTTATAATTAATCCCCCTTCCACTGCCCTCCTCCCAAAATAAACACTTCAAGAATCATCATACAAACTAGTGAAATGTGAATAATTTGGATCTGCCAATGTTCATCACTTATTCAATTTAAATTTTGATCAATGTGTTAGTCATGATTTTTTTTATTAGGAGATTCTCCCTATACTCCTATTATATATTGCCATCCTTTCTTGCAGGTTCTTTTGTCATGATTTTTTTTTATCAAAGCTTAGTTATCTACACCAGTGTTGTACAGATTTACAAATTTATGAAAACTTATCCTTTTTATTTTTTTATTTTTTTTATTTTTAAGGTGATACTTTCTGCTCATTGTTTATGACTCTTTTATATATTTTCTCCCTTGTGAAATTATTCTTCAATGTCATGGTGGTATGAAAAGAACCTGTGCATTGGATCTGAAATGCTCTCACTGCTTGGTTATAATTCTTAAATTAATAAAGTTTGATTAGGTGTGTTCTTCTCTGAATTTTGTGGTGTTCATATTTCCAGATACATCCTGAGTCACATGTAATTGCTCAAGTTCCGCCCCTGAATTTTTTTTTTTTGCTAGTGTACTATCATTTGATTTAATAGCATACATGTTTTGTATTTATATTCCTTTTCCATTTTGATACAATTTGCTCTCTACTAAGCATCTAATTATCTTGCATTGTAGATGACCTTGTAACCGGGGCTGATGATACTTATTTTGCATTCTATTTGTATACTGTTTATGGTAGGCTGATAAGTTGATAAAGGAAGAGGCCCAGTATCTTTGTGCAGCAATGGGACATGAAAGTGAACCCCTTGATGAATTTATTGAAGCACACAGAACCTGTCTCAATGATCTTATGTACTTTCCTACTCGTAATGCCTATGGGCTCTCAAGTGTTGCTGGGAACATGGAAAAGCTAGCAGCTTTGCAGAGTGAATTTGAGAATGTGAGAAACAAATTGGATGATGGTAAGGAGAAGATGATACGGGTGGAGAAGAAGGTGATGGTTCTCACACAAGGCTATGAGGTATGTTATTTATATCCTGTATGCTACGTTTAGTTACTTGCAGTGTCAGCTTGAATTATTGATTTTTTTTGCTACTTTTAAACTTTTTGTTGCTGGTTGTGTCATGTGTGTTCTTGCTTAAGAGCTAGCTACATAGCTTGTATTACTTTTACAAATATTCAAGGATCTTTGTTGCTTGAATTCCCTCTGTAAAGATTGTTTTGTAATTGAACATCTGTGTTAAACCAAACCAAAAATTGTGACCGAAAAATAGTTGGAAATCAACACATTAGTTGGGAACGTGACACTCCCATCTCGAAAATTGTGGGAAGTGGGGACAAACATGAAGAAAGCAGAATTTCTTTGGTTTGATTTTTCTCTCTGAGAAAATAGATATTTCCTTATAATTCTAGATATTCTTTTATATTTGTGTTGCCTAAAAGCTTGCTTGCAATATTATAGTTGGGCTATTTCATTTTTCAGTTGAGAGCAAAAAAAAGCCTATGGCCGCAAATTGAGGCCACTTTAAAGCAGATGGACGTAGCTGCAACAGAGTTCGAATGCTTTAAAGTTTTGCAAAAGCAGGAACAATTAGCAGCATCACATAGGATAAACAATCTGTGGGCTGAAGTACAGAAGCAAAAGGAACTTGAGAAAACCTTGCAAACTAGGTATGGGAGTCTAATTGAAGAGCTGGAAAAGATACAAAATATCAAGGACCAATATAGATTACAAGCACAACAGCAAGAAGAAATGGAGGCAAACAACCATGCTCGTGAGTCAATTGAGACCAAGGCCGATGAAACTGATGTAGAGTGTACAGAGAATCGTGAAGCTTCACCTCCCTCAGTAGAGCTTGGACATGCTCTAGCAGCTGAGTCATCTCATGGTGGAACTGCTGATCAGCAAGTAGATATTGTGCAAGACCATATTACTTCTAGCCCCAGTCATGACATTGACGTGGATTCTGACAAAATGCAAATAGCACACGACACCTCTGTGAATTTGGCAAATGGTACACCTGCTGCAGAGAATGTCGATGAGAAAGTGGAAGGTACCAGTACTGCTGCAGTTGAAATAAGTGACCCCACTCATGATGTAGTTGTAGATGCTGTTAACTCACATGATATCAGCATGGAAGAAACCAATGCTGTTTAGCATTCTTAATTTACATAATCTCAAGTGGTAGATATTTGCTTTAGCAGATACGGGTACAGAACAATTTTTTACCCAACAGGACAGGTGACAGTGGCTTCTATCTGTGTTTACTCTGTCCTATTTTCATTTCTTGCATTTAGTGATTTTCGGAGCTCCTCGATATTTCCCAGTTTTGTTATTTTGCTTTACAGTTACAGATGCATGATGTTGATTCTCGTTGGGTCCACAATGTTCCAAGAATTTTAGGCTTCTCCATTCAGTAGTCCGAAACAATTTATAAGTAACAAAATATAATCAAATAGTTGATTGTTGTATCAATTATTATTTATTACTTTATTATGGAGAAAACATAGGGATCAAAAATAAGTATTAAAACCTAAAGCGGACAACAAAATGGTTGTATCAATATGTACACAGTTTTTATTTATTTATTTATTTATTTTTATACACGCTGGCCGAGCCAGGCCAACACTCGTAATGACTTATGGTTAACGTAAAATATAATGTATTATGGTATTGGGTGGAGCTTGGCAAATAATTACAGTATTAATTTTTATTTGTTATTTAAAATTGAAACATCGTATAATAAATTAGTTAAAAATATAACATACATACTCGGTGCTTTAAATATAATAATTTAAACGAATTTAAATCTAATACAAGATAGATTATGACAGTTAATTTACAAATTTATAATTTCAGCATTTGTATACTCTTAAAAGATATGTAAAGAAAATCAAATACTAACAATAATTAGTTATATATAATGATTTGTTATTGCTGAGAAAACATTTTTTTTATCATATAATGATTTGATTAATATTTATTACAAATAATTATCAAATTGTTTAATATTACTCAAAATAAAAATAAATTATGTTTAATGATTTAGTAATATTAATTTTTATTTTAAACTTAATACACTATATAAATGCAGGTATAAGGTAGGTTGATAGTATATTATCCGTACTTACACTAATTCCTATAATTATTTTGCAAATAAGTACTCATACATAAATTTAGCCCCATCTGTTATTTTCTCAAGATTAATAACAAATCTTTGAATTTTATGTTATCTAAAGTGGAAGAGGTATACTTTAAAGAAAAATGAATAGTTATAGTTGTTGATCAGAAAAACAATTATTAACATTATGATAACATACATATAACAAATTATAAGTTTATTTTTTTTCAACAAAAGAAATAGATTTTCGCCATTAAGAGAATATTAAGAATACAATAAAGAATTACATTATGAATAGTGTCAATATGAATAGTCTCAATAATCTCAATATTATGAATAGTCTCAATAAAGAATTACATTATGGTTAGAGAACGAGCAACCATATTAACAAATTAAAAGTTTCTTAAAATTTAAATATTTGATTTTCTAGTCAATAACTTCGTAATTACACTTTATCATCTATTTTTCATTTTAATTATTTTAAAGCACGTCATGGACTTCCTCCGCGTTTGATACCATCTTGTAAGGCATGAGTGTCAAGCAACGCTGCCACGCACCAAATTGAAAATTTATTTTGTTAGAATTATATTATACTATATCCCAAAATATTACGGTATTAAAAGTTTCTAACTTTATCAAATATTTTGTGCAAATGTATAATTGAAAATCAAGGATGATGCCTAAATATTACTATTTTTATTTATATATATTAATTTTGGAGAAACTTTTTGTCATTAATTTCTATCATTTTAAAATTATAAGATAAGATTAATTATCATTTTTAATTATACGCTTATAAAAAAATAAAATAAAATGTCAAAGTAATAAATGGGAGAGATAAAGTACATTTTAAAAACTTACTAATAATTTTAACTAAAATAAAGAGATCAATTATTTCTCTTAAATTGTGTATTATGATATTAAATAATAGGTAACAAATAGAAGAAATAATTAAGAAAGTGATAACATATACGTACCTGAAGCCATTTGTGGGTAGGTGTCGAGGAGAGTACTAATTGCTTTTAACACATTCTACAGATATTTGAGCCCCCAGTTAATTATTCACCACAGAATTGGATGCATGCATTGAAGTGCAAGATTTTATTAAAGAAAAACATGCTACTAATTGTATTTTTAAAACATTAATTACCTCTGTTGTAACTTGTAAGTTGTAACAAAAAATTAAAAAGGTAAAATATTGAATGAGGAACATACGAGTACTAGTTCACCAGGTTTTAGTGGAAGTTCCTCCATGCCGGTTATCTTGCTGCACATAGCCACATAATACATTAACATGATCAATCTAGCATACGGTTTCGTTAAGTACAGAGACACAATATTATGTTAATGTTATGTACCTGATAATTAATCTTCCTTCAACTTCTTCAAACCAAAAGAATCTGCATCCATTTGTGAAGGGTATTTTCTTTCCGTTCCACTCTGCAGAGAACGTACGTGAGCTTATTCTTTAATCACGCATTCAATCAAATTATATTTCTTTTTTAATCAGAGCTATAGAGTTCTATATATTTTCTTTTGCACCACCAACAATAAAGAATTTAGTGTGTATAACTTCATCGTAGAATGATGCAAGAACTACAAATCAAGGATAAAGCCTAACTTTTAATATATATATATATATATATATATATATGAGTTAATCACCTGTACACTAAATTTTTAGTTGTGTCATGTTATTATAAACATATTTACTTTTAACAGTGACATGACACAACTAAAAGATATAATTAGTTGTCGGTGTAAAAAAACTTTATACTGACTCTATAAGTGATTAACTATATATATATATATATATATATATATGAGAAGATATCTGTTTACTCTAGGAGTAAGTCTA